GAACGAACGAACGAACGAACGAACAAAAAAAACGAACAAACGAATAAACGAACGAACAAAAAAACGTATCTGCGTACGAACGCAAGCATGTTCAAAATGAAGTCTCATCAGTTTCGTTTATAGGGGAACATGTACCAGCATAACCCCTGTTTACTAATATTCTCTAAATATGTATTTATAAATTAATATGATTAGCGCTGATTAGTCAAAACTTTCATGACCTCATAACCCGACCTTATAATTGATATATCTATAGAGACACATAAATAAAGAATATTAGGATATCCGTTATACTATTCACGGTGTATGTTATTACATACTTGACGTTATATCTGCCCGTCACATATATTCATACGAACGCCTTATTTGGAGAATGGCCCCTAAGCGATATACGTCCGGATTTGCGGCTTTTTGCATATATTTTAATAATGAGCAATAATGGCAAAAAGCGCTAAAAACTAGACTTTCGATTGAGATTTGGTCCCAATTTTCGTTTTGGGTTAACACTCAAAACATTTTTTCAAAACAGTTAGAAACTGATGTACTATGATAAAATGCCTGTTGGAAGCGTTTGCTGCATTTGTATTAGAATGTCGCTTTGTCAGGCTTTTTTATAGATAAATATATGGGAAATAAGCAAATGAAGGCCTAACCCTCATTTTCGATTCCAATTTTTGCTTTGGGTTAACACTTTGATTCCACTTTCATCGGTCATCTCCACTTCCAAACAAGTTAACTTCCTAAATAACAAGATTTTAGCCTTGTACAACAGCCTTTCTTCAAGAAAATAGTTCTGGCGCTCACTGCTTGAATACGAAAAGAATTCTATCTTAATCGGTAGTTGATTGATTTAAACATAGGATACGAATCAAACTCTTCAGTACATTGGAAACGATAACACTGAATCGAGCTGCAACTAAAGACCATTTCATTTCCGGAGTTTTAGAAAGCGCAGTACATCAGGCAGCTGACATTTTATGCATCAAAAACGTAAAAGAAATTTAAAAAATGAACACGACGTTTGCACGGTGGCGTCATTTGACTACCACTACCAAAATGTTTCGAATTTTCTTTCTTATTCAAACTGTGATGTTTAATTGTCCAAGGATTCTGGTAGTTAGAGTAAATAACACCATAATGCGAGTGCCCTATTAAGGTTACTTGCGACCTTCGGGGGGTATCTTTTGTTAAAGACTCTCTTTACTCGCAATACGTTCACTAATTTTTTTAAAGACGTTTTACCGCATAAAAGACGAAATACTCAAAATATCAAAAATCGCTTTACAGGCACGGTTGCGTCACTGGGAATGAACAAGTCCCTTGGACCAATCACTGCACGCGAGTAAAATCTTTATCGATACCCTGAAACAGACTCTCGCCTGATCTAAGTCAGGGCAAGGTTAACTCACAGACCTGAGCCCAAACCCGACGAAAACCCCTCAAAGCAGGTCCTAATTAAACAAGGGAGACCTAAATTTTACCGTCGCTGCTAACTAATAAAGTGGTAAAAGCGATCACTATGATGATTGTGAATATCTCAAGTATCAACTTCAAGTCATATTGTACTAAAAAAAACACACTCGAACAATGTTATTGTAATCACGAAAAACTGAAACACAAATAACAATGAGATAAGCTGATTCAAACTGATGATTGTAGTTACGAATCCCTGTCATGACCTAGCGAACCGAAAATTATAGTAATATAGCCGCAGATATTAGAAATGTGGTCTCTTTTTACATTAGACATTTCTTCCATATCAATCAATCAATCAATCAATTTTTATTTACTAACAGACTAAAATATATACTGATACAATATTTTGAAAACAGAAAGTTTGGTAGTAGCGGCTAACTGTTATTATAGCCATACAAGGATAAGATACTTTAAATCGAAACATTGTGTGATTTGGAAATGAATTCTATTTACTAGAACTAATAATCTAAAAGTTACTAGTAATCTCATTATGCTGAGGATTTTTTTGATTATCCTTTCGGTTTGTTTTGTCGCTCTCTTCAAGGAGAATAAGAATAAGAATAAGAATAAGAATAAGAATAAGAATAAGAATAAGAATAAGAATAAGAATAAGAATAAGAATAAGAAT